AGATCGTTTAAATGTTAATATTTTAAAGAATATCAAGAAAAGAGAAGGAGGGGGGGAAAAAAACAGAGAATCCTATCCCTTAGACAAAGATGCATAATTTAAGGGGCAGTTCATCTCAAGTGACGAATATAAATTATGGAACATTTAAAGAGCGGATTTATTTTGCTAAAACTGAATTCGGCATCAATGAAAATAAGAAATTAATACATATCCAATAAAAAGATAAAATATTTAATTTATAAATGTTACTCGTAATAAATTATGGAAGAGCTCAATTAATTAAGGTGATTCAAAATAATAAGGGTACACATCTGAAACAAGGCCTATAGAAAATAAAAACTTACGAATTTCGTCGACAGAGAAAATGAATTGATGGATGATACGCGCTTTTGTGACTTAATTAAATATGGAAATTGTTGATATTTCTTTGTTGTTTATAAATTATAATCATGGCCTGGTTCGATTTTAAAATAAATAATACTCCTCCGGTCCTTAATATAGGACCCAATTGCTAAGTTGGTTTTGGTCCTAAATATAAGACCCATTTCTCATATTTATCTATTTTCTCTAAATTACCCCTATAGATACTCCATCAACCATAATCAAGTAGAAGATAAAGAGGAGTATTAAGAAAGATGATTATGGTATTTTAGGAAAAACATGTCACAATTTTTATAATTAACTAACTTACCTAACTTCCTTAATCTAATCAAATTAGTTAAATGGGTCCTATATTAAGGACCGGAGGAGTATTATCTTTTTCTCGTGATGAAGAAAAAGTATAACCACAGTTCAAACACATTTGTAGCATCTCGCTGTCAGGAAAACAATTATTTTTTGCCATTATCAGATAAACAACGTTGAAAAATCATACAGAGGAGCGAGAAAGAATATTAAATCTAAATCATGCAAATATTAATATTAAGATCAGGAAAAATTGGAGAATGAGAAAAAGAGTAAAGAAGATGAGAAGAAAATAGAAAACAATCCTATTCCCTAGGAAATGCTTAAGTTAACAGCTGTTAAATATGATTTCTTTTTCTGAAAAGATATACATTTAGTCTTTTCATTTTATATAATGTTTTAGTTTTGTCTTTTAATTTAAAAAGTATATTTTTTAGTCATTTAATTTTAAAATCATAAGATGATTTTTTTATAACAATTAGAATTGTTTTGAAAATTAAACTTAATATATTGACCTTTAAAATATTTTATCAATATTTAATATCTTATTATCATCATTTTTTAATTAACGTTTTTAAGGTTAAATAACTAAAAATATACTTTTTAAAACTAATGAATCAAATTAAAATTTTGTATACAATTAAAGCAGTAAAAGTATGGTTTTTCTTTTTCCGCCAACCGCTACGTGTGAATGATGAATTCAGGAATATAAATTATGAAGCATTTCCATAACGTGGGACAAATAAATCCTAGTAATTGTTTTATAGGATCTATCATCATTGACACCGGCCGGTCGAGGGTCCTTTCCTCGGAAAGCTTTACTTTTATTCTGAAAAACTTGCCAGTATACTTCGCTCAAACTCAGCGGCAACGCTGCCAGGCCAAGATGTCAAGTTTGAGAATTTTCATTTTTTATATTGATATGTGTGTTTAATTAATGGATTTATTTTACTAACATTAAATTCGGTATCCATTAAAATGAGATGTTAATATAATACATAATTAATCAATTAAAATATTTAATATTTAATATAAAATCTATAACAAATTATATAATTCACAAGTATTGATTATTAATGATGGCAGAGCCCAAATTAGAAGTCCGAAACTACATTAACGAATGATTATTATGATTTTGGGTTTAATTGAAAGAAAAAGGCAATATTTATAGGCGAGAGAAAAAGAGCCTTGATCATCTGGGCTTGGTCAACGAAGTGGTGTTATATCGAGTAGGTAATTTGCTTCTCCCAGAAGACTCCAAATGAGACGACACAATCATGGACCCAACACACACAAACACAAACACTTGTTGATATATAAGAATTATAATATCACGTGGTCTCTCATGACGACGTTGTTTTAATATTGAATGGCTGGGTACGCACCTCAGCCTTGCGTGGCTCTGTGATTAATAAGAGATACGCAGAGCCTAACTCCAAGATCTGGTTTTGGGCTTTCAACATACATTTCTGCGCAATTACAAATTAAACGAGCTCCTATCTACCAACCAGTTGAGGTGGCAGCCAATACAAGCTCAAATTTTAAGAAACATATCTATATTGAGAAGACTATTTTTTAACCGCTCTCTGTTTAAAAGAAATTAATTTTAAATCTAATATAATCTGAGAATACCCTGGTTTTACTTTAAAAAAGAGCTCATGATGTGTGCCTTTGAACTGATTGTCCCCACCCAGACTATATTCATTCTACCTACCACATCTCCTTCTTTTTTTTTTTTTATGTTTGATTATTAAAGCATATGACAAATTAAGTTATTGCGTAAGTGTTCCACCCACCGTCCCCTTCATGTCCAAACCTTCATGTTTATGCTAACCTTACATCAATACCTACCAAATCGCTTCGGCAACATAAGAGGAAGTGAATGGTCCTAAATATTGTTAGGCTCAAATCCCGTTTGGTATAAAACATTAAAAATAAAGAATAGAGATTAGAATTGTAATTAAAAAAATTATTAAAAAAAGTCTTTAATATGGGTAATTATTTGTTACATAGGAATAGGATTAGGCAAATCAATGGAAGTAGGACTGTCTAATCCCATGGAACAAGTAATCTCTCCTACTAAACACTATTTTTTCAATCTCAATCTCAATCCTAATCTCAATCTCTTATTTTTAATCCTCTGTACCAAATGGTACCTTAGGGTTAAAACCCATAAACCCTATCTGTACTTGGAACAATCATCAACGATGCCAGCGTGAGATTATATAATAGAGTCGCCTCCAGTATAATCATGCGAGCATACATGCATTAATTATATTGCGGGTCAGATGTAGAAGCAAGAGAAGAGAACTATGATGTGGTATTTGGGATATAGCAGACCCGACAGGAGAATAATTGCAAGCCAATATGCATATATATGTTTTGAAATTTAATTTGGATTATGCAGGACAGGGCCCGCTATAGAATGTTTTAGTCGGCCATACAGAAGTCTTCCCATGTATATATATCCGCAACACCTTGATGCGAGTTTCATATACTCGTATCTGGGTCTAAGCACGCAGATATAATTAGTGTTGTTTCTTTTTGACAATTTGCTGTGTACATTTAAACTTGTTTTCCATTTTACTTGCAGATGTTGTGCCGCCCTCAGCTCATGTCCCTTCTCCTGTGCTGATATATAATTGGGGAATAGTTCTTCTGCTAATATATGCAGCAGCACCAGTATTCTCAGCCTCCTGTTCCGTAGAACATGTTTCTACATCATGCTACGAGCAAGGGGTCCTTTGTTTAGCTAATTCGTGTTGGTGCAGTTAAATTTACTAAAACGTACCAGGCTTTAGGTCCTCCACTAGACCTGGACGCGTAATGAAACAAAGGATGAACGACGAAAACAAATATAATGCTTTTGATACTTGATATAAGAGTAGTTTAACATTCAATTTAATTCTAAATATAAGATCTCAATCCACTCTGTTTCTCATTATTTAGTCACTGTTTCTAAAGTAATTGTTGGAGTAGTTGCGCACGTTAAAGGTTTCATCAAATGACAGTAACTAATACCCATAATTAACAAAAATATTCTAAAAAAGCTAACACAAAATTCATTACAAATAACTAATTTAGCAAATTTTCTTAATCTACTCAAATTAATCAACTAGTTCTTATATTATAAACAAAATGAGGTAGAATTATACCTGAATGGAACTGCATCAACTTTGAGCCTAGCTGTTAGGAAAACGTCAGCGAAATACACTTCAAAATACTCTTAGGCAATCTAGAGAACACACGCATTAAGCCAAATAAAAGATGTTATTTCAACAGGACTTCTCTCTCTCTCTCTCTCTCACACACACACACACATCTCAATTTTCATTCTTTATTATTAGGAGCCACCATTAGTCCTTTGCTACTCTACATTCATGAATACTGCCCATTAAAGCAATAAGTGGCTGTAATGTTCTGTTGAATCAAGGAAATCCTCGTTTGGCCCGTGTAGCAAAGGCTTTTGCTTGAACAATGATCTCGCGATGAGTTAATGGGCTTCGTGATCCAAGCAGGGGCCTGTTAGGATACTGTCCTGCCAGGCCCAAATTTGTTGTAGTCTGGAGGAGATAGAGATTGAAGATTTTTTTTTTTGGGCCAAAAAAGATATGAAATTTGGTCTGTGGGGGAAGATTTGGCATCTTTCCAGTCCACGTCAAAAGTCTATAAAACAAACGCAAATAAATAATCAGGGCACCGCCCAAGAACACAAATAAAAGACGGGTTAGTTACATTATTGAGGGAGTCTCTCGGTGTGTGTCTGTCATCATCATCTTGGCTAAGCACCTCTTTTTTCTTTTTCCTTTTTTTAAGTTTGCTGATTCACCCACGAGACCTGACGCTAACCTTCACTCTTCAATCTCCGTCGTATTCAATCGCCCTCACCAACAAAACTTTCATACTTCATGTCATGATCATTTTAATAATATCTCATTTTGTGATAGCATGTCTAATATTTGTATGTTTTCCTCTGGAAAAAAAAAAAAAAGTAAAAGCATGCAGCATCTTTATACATGTCAAAGCCGAGGGGCAAATTCTGCGACAGGGGAGGGATGATTTGTGTAAAGTAAACTGGCTTGTCTTAATTCAATGGTAATGAGAATTGTCGGCGCATTTAATTATGTTAATGAATGATCCCAGCACGCAATAATAAATGATAATGGCCTATCATGCATTTCTGACTTGTCATCCAAAGCCTGAACATGATTGAGTTCGCTTCGCTGAGGCCAAACCTCAGTTTCCCAATTTTACTCCCCACGTCTGCTGCCTACAAATTAGAAATCCTCGCTCCTTCCCTCCCTCCCTCCCTCCCTCTCTGATCGACTTCCAGGTTGTATACAAATACCCCACGTCGCCACCCTCTTTCCTTCATTTCCTTTAAATTCCCCTCAGGTCCCTCTCCCTTCCATCTTCTTCTTCTTCATCTTCATTTCAATCTGCTATGGATTCTTGCAGCAAATCATCTGCTCCTGATTCTTCTTCTTCTCCCTTCGACTGCCTCATTTTCGGTAACTCTTTCTCACTCCTTCCCTGCCTCTCTTTCTTTTCATCTGCATAGTTACGTACAACGAATCATATGGTTAATCATTCCTGAAATTAAGCAGATTTGGACGACACTCTGTATCCAACCACCACTGGAATCGGTGAAGCTCTCAAGAAAAATATTGAAGGTTTAATTTGTTACCCACTTTTAATTACCAATTACGTACAATAATTACCTCCACAATCTACACATTTTAATGCATATTGCCCTTTAATTTGCATGCAGTTTTCCTGGTGGAAAAATGTGGATTCCCACAGAGCAAAGCTTCAAGCCTCCGCGCTGAACTTTTCAGAACATACGGAAGCACCCTTGCTGGTTTGCGAGTAATATATTACTACATCGCTGAACTTCTTCATCTTTCTACTGTTCTTGTAGTAAGTTTATTTATTTCAGTTTCTTTTTTCTTCTCAGGCACTGGGCTATGACATCACTGCAGAAGATTACCACAGGTGATTGCAACCGAGCTCGTCTGAAAATCTTTTAACAACTTCATTGGAAATTAATGTTTTTGTTTTTCCTCTAAATCTTTTCTTCTTTATCAACCAATAGTTTCGTGCACGGAAGGTTGCCTTACGAGTCCATCAAACCCGACATTCAGCTGCACAAACTCCTTTGCAGCATCAAACAGAGGAAAATTGTATGTTCTTAACTGTAACTCTCTGTTCAGTCCTTTGATGTTCGTCTTCTTGCTAACGAACCCCGCCCCTCGGGGAAAAAATTGTTTCAGATATTCACAAATTCGGATAGAATTCACGCGATGAAGGTGTTAAATCGACTCGGGATAAGCGACTGCTTTCAGCAGATTATATGCTTCGAGACTATGAACCCGAATCTTTGCAACTCAACCAGACCCGACGAGCTTCCCGTGCTCCTAAAGCCGTCGCCGGAGGCCATGAAGACCGCGCTCCGTGCCGCCAAAGTGGATCCTCGTCGAACGGTAGATATTACTCGTGTTAATTAATCAATGGGGAAAATTTAAAAATTTGTCATAAAAAAAACCCGGAGTTATAATTTTTTTTCCTTTTGGGGTGAATATGCAGCTGTTTCTGGACGACAATGCGAATAACGTCGCGGCGGGGAAAGCAATGGGCCTCCACACCGTGCTGGTAATTATAGGAAGTTTATGGTCTACTACGATGCCACCTGTCTGTGTTTGAATTATTGATATTATTAAATTATTAATTATAATGGAGGGGGTGATCATTTATGGAAGGTTGGGAAGAGAATAAGAAGCAAAGAAGCAGACTACGCAGTGGAGAATGTGAATGAAGTGGCACAGTTGATTCCTGAATTATGGTGGGGATGCGAATCTGACGGTCAAGATGTAAGGACAACCCCAACTCCCAAGACTGAACTCGATTCTATCATCACAACGACAACAACGGCAGCCGTTGGAGCTTGAAACAATAAAAACAGTACATATGTGATGTTCACAACATTGAAAATGTGTGCGCCCTGACCGTCACAACAAAAATGTACAAAGAATAAACAAAATAGTTGTAATAAATTGTGTGCGCGTGTGGGGGTGTGTTGTGGCCATGGTGGGAAAATGACCGTGGAGTCAAATAAATTATATTAGAAGCATTATTATTAATTAATCTCAACCAACAATAAGAGGTAAGTATTGAGATTGAGATTGAGAAAAATCTTAAAGAATATTAAGTATAAGTGATTTTTTGTTACAGAGATTAGACAATCTCATGTAAGTGGGATTAGAAAATACTATCGCATTCCTATAGTATTTCCCAATCCTACATATATAGATTTGTCTAATCCTAAATAATAAACAATTACTTATATTAATCACTCTTTTAACATATTTGTTCAGTCTCTATTCTAATTCTTACCCTTATTTTTAATACTTCGCATCAAAAGGGACATAAGATTATGATAGTGTTGGGGCCAATGGCCTTCATTCGTATTCACCACTGCTTATGTACAAGGTAATTTAAATTTCTCACAACTCTTGTAATTTAATACATTCTCTTTTTCTTTCTAGATAAAAGATCAAACTTTATTACTCTTCTGGTTTTGAATATAAGGCCCATCTTGTAGTGCAGTGTAAATTACACTATAAAGTGGGGTTTATACCTAGGACTAGAGGAGTAAAACATAAAGCGACTCATGCATCAAAGTCTAAAGAGAAGGTCATAAAAACAAGAAACTTCAAACAAGAACAAGAAGGTAAGAACAGCACAAAAATCAAACAGAGGGTGTAGGAAAATCAAGAGAGGTGAAATGGGCCAGGTCCCCGTAAAACGATTACAGAAAAGAATGGCCATCATATATAAGAGAAAGCAAGAGGGCCCAATACACAGCCACTCCTACAAGGAAAAACCCAAATAACATAAAAAAAAAGTGAGATAAGAAACTAGGCCCAAACACAAAATTAAAGGACGCCCAAGGTGATAATGACCAATAAAAAGAAGCCCATATATCAATTTGTCTTCCATGTGTGCTCTGCAACTTCCGCGCCCCATGAACATTAATAGTTAGTTAAAATTCTTAGATATTTCATGAATCTAGTTTTGTTAGATAATATTTTGTTTTAATTTGGTCGTTATATTTTATCATTAATTATTATTTTCATTTAGTTTTAAAATTTTAGAATGTTGTTAATTTTTAGGGTTAGATTATCGCTTATAAATAACATCACAATGCATTTGCTTCATGCTCCTGTCAATCAATTAAACAAGAATGGTTTTTGTCTAAATTTTTCACTTCTCCTTTATTCCTTTGATTTCCCTCTATTTCTTGCCTTTTCTACCTCCTCTCTAGTCTCACCAGCTCTCTTGCCCTTCTCTATTCTACATCATTGGCGAACAGGGGCAAGTTTAACAACCTCTTGCAAAGTATCAACTTATTTAATTAACTTACTCAGAGTATGTTTTAGTTTACGTATAAGAAAATTAGTTAAGCAAGCGTTAAAAACTTCTATAATTCATGAAAAATATATGAGAATTCTCGTTCCACCACGTTAAAAATGAACGATAAATATTACATTAAGTTTGATAAATAGGAGCACCCGGTCTGTCCAGCTGCCTATACTAATGCCATTTGTAATTAGCATTCAACCATGATCAGATTTGAATTTAGATGGAAAAAATAACAGAACTTGAACTGTTTGTCTTGATAAACGGTTGTTCAAAGCGCAAACTCTGCAATAAAGTTCACTTCCCTCGTAAACCAACCTTCAAATTGAATTTTCAGTATGGCTTGCAGACCAAGGCGCGAGGTAAATTTTCTAATTGATGTCTTTACAATTACAAAACAGATTCAATTCATAGCCGAATAGTTAACACGTTAGTAATTCTATCCAGCACTTTTCAATCATAGCGACTTCGTCAAATAAACAGACCGATCAGCGTTCGGTCTCACTACTATCGTATAGAATTGGTCAACGTACAAGCCAAGGCAAATTAAGATTCCAATATAAGGTTTTAACAGAAGAAAGTGGGAAAATACAGACACAGTTACAGGGCTTCACAATCCTGAGGCCAAGCTGAAAACACAGCTCATATATCATAGACTTGCTTACCAGTGAACTTAACCTCAATAGGGCTAACATTCTTCCCAATAGACCTATAGTTCTGGCCAACTCCTTGGCGTCCGGGGTTGACCTTCTCAGGGTACACCCCGTCCTTGGGATGCAAATACTGGACCTCCCCATTAGGGAACACCCTGTAGAACTGGTACTTGATCTTGTACTTGGACCTCAGCCTCGTCCCAAGAGCCAAGCACTGCTCCTTGCGAGCCAGCTTGAGCAGGTTGGGGCCCTGCCTCATGATGGCCGCACCACCGGTGGGCATCTCGAAGATCTGTTCTTTTGGAGAATCCCATGTGATCACGTAGAATTCCTCCACCTGGGCCTTTCGCAGCAACCCTCCTGTGCTCCCGGCGAAGATCGGAGAAGGAGTGTTGGGGTCCAGTTCCGGTGGGGTGAACCCCGCGGGTGCTTCTTTTTCCTTGGTCACAGGGGCAGCCTCTGTTTTCTCTTCTGCTGCTCTGATGACTGTGGCTGATCTGGCCGATGAGGTTGTGAAAGTGAGGGGTTTGAAGGAGAAGGATAAGGCGGATTGGTTCTTGAAAGAAGAGAGTGTGGAGGAGGAGACGGGTGGGGTGAAGAGGGAAGCTTGGGTTGCCATGGCCATGGAGGACTCGGAGGAGACGGGTTTGGGCGAGCGAGTAGTTTGGGAGATCAACAAGGAACGAGAGCTGTGGATGAACTAGAGATTTTGAGAGCGGGGAGTGGATAAGGTGATATTGGTTGGACCAATGAGAAGGTGTGATTTTGATTTTGTGGTGCTCTTCACCCCCAATTCCCACCACTTCTTTTTCCCTACTCATCATGCCTTATTCCCAATATCCACAATTTCACCCCCACCCCACGGAATCTAATTCCCATTGCCAAACTGAAGGTGGATTTTTGGTAATTGCTGTATTTTAACCATTTAAAACATTCATTTGTACGGAATTCATATTAATGAATATTAAAAAAACTTTAAAATTTGTTCATTTCAAAAACCTTGTAGAATTTATGTATTCTCTGTGGTTTAATTATATAATATATAGAAATTAATTTTTTTAAATACACCTTTGTTTAAAATCATTGAATGCATATAGATATGTAGTATATATTTCTGTGAGAGAGAAAGATACCTGACAATTGTTAACACCAAACACTGCAACATAATGTAGTTAAAATTTATATATTTTTTGTTTCTAAATATAATTTGCTTCTAGTTATGTAAACTGTTAAACACAATCTAGAATGTTATACAGAGAGGTAAGGGGAAATGAGGGAACCCAGTCAGGAGGACCATTAACGAGGGAAGAGTGCCGGTTCCTTTCGACATGACACAAATGGCCCCCCACACTAAACGACATGTCGTTAGTCGCTCGCCTCAGTTTGATTTACGACGTGCGACGCCGAGTTGACATTTGAAGAAAAGGAGGAAAGAGATTTTTGAGTGTCGGCCTTTATCTTACGTTTCTAGTTTTATGATAAGCTTTCACTCTATCTTTTCTCTCTGTATGTTGTTTGCTTTTCCTTACCTGGAATGATGGAAGCCCCCTCATCAGAGACGATTGTTTCATGTCTGCAAGAATAAATAAATTAATTTTCCACCACTTGCTGGAAAATCTAACAGGACGACATGCTCCTACATAATTTCATAAACATATCCAATAACATCTATACATAATCCCAAACGCCAATCTCTCGTCTCTTACCCCCACGTACACTTCACACTGCCCACTCAACAAACAAAGTAGTAGTATTTCAATTTCTCACACCCAAAAATCTACCCCTATGACTGAAATAGGAAAGACTTGTTTGCAAAATTATGTTCCTGCGATTTTAGATCGAGATGCTGTTGGGAATTCCCTTCCCTGTAAGTCCACCCTCCCTTGAGTAGTCGGAGGTATTGGGATAAAGCAATGTGTATGGCACTTTCACTGGTCCAAGTCTGTTTTTCCGCCTTTCGTCTTTGTTCATCTCAATGATTCTGTTCTCAATTTCCGTCAGCTTCTTCCCAAACCTTTCGAATGCTGCCAGTGGTTCGGCGTCTGTAGTCCACCCAGGAGCATCTCTCTGCCCAAGGTACACCTCATCAGTTGAATGCCTGGACAATATTTCTATCAATGAGACGCCGAGGAGTGTTTGAAATTGGGCTGTGATTGTTTTCAAGAATGCCAAGTCAGGATTCGACTCCAGCTCTGCGTACTCTGGGGTGCCTGGTTCAGGCATGAATCTTCGGCTCACAGTTGGACGATTAGGGAGGTATCCCGCATAAGGGTACTGCCCAAAATTGACGGCCGCATGAAGCGCCGAAGCTACCCAGATGATAATGGTGCATGATTGAATGAGCTCAGATCTTGTCCTCATCTCTGGCCACCATGGCTCGTCCTTAAGATCACCGTGACCCTCGTTACGGACTTCGTTCCACCAAGCTTGGAGTTCTTGGTCACTCTCAACCATGTCATCTGATGGGTAGTAGAAGGAGCAATATTCACTCACCCAATTAGTAGAAGGAGCAATATTCACTCACCCAATTTTCAATTGCTGCCCAGATTTCTAGTCCATCAACTGCATATGGGTAATCATCAATCAGAAGTCTCAGACCATGCGGGCAGCTGGAATCTGGAACCGCCACTCCTCTGAAATGCAGGACAAGGGAGTTACGGATTTACCATTTATGATATGGATAAAAGATACACAGGAATCAATCTTTGATTGAACTTTCTTCACCAACCTCTTGAGCAGATCAGCTGGCAGCGCCTGCTCAGTGAAGACCCAGTTTTTATAAACAAAAGATGACATTTCCAAGGCAAATTTTCCTGGGAAAACTGTTCTCTCAAGTACGCCTCCAGCATTGATGAGTATTTGTCGTGCTAAGGCATTTATGTTCATTGTGTCCCTATAGTGGGGCTGCAGGAGCTTATGTATAGGGTGAAGCACACTCAATTGCCTATTCGTAGCTATTATGAACGGCTCAATTACAGCATGAGTGAATAACCTGCAGATAAATGAGACCTTTCTAGTTATATGTTTTAGGCCAGGGAACAAAGTAAGTTTCAACACTGCGAGCATTAAGGTTAGTTATCTGGTGGCCATACCAGTGGCTAACAAGCTGATGGTATCCAGAATCATTCACAGCAGCGTAAGCTTTAGCAAGCTGCCACACTGAAGCCGCAACACCTTCCTGTGCTGGAGTAAAAACTTTGCTGACAGCACCATGACGATCCCCTTGTGGGTGGGGCAAGCTTAATTCAATGGCCAAGGGCTTCAATGTACCATCTTGTCTCAGCAATAAGAGTGTTCTAGTGGCATAGGTCTTTGTGTCTGTAGAGTTTACTCGATTCAGGTATGGCATCAATGCATCATGATGATCTAAAATATACAACTTGTTCTTGTCTAGTGCCTGTAAGGAAAGGGATGACATTTTGACTATCGGTAAGGTCTTTGGATTTGGTTTTGTTTTCATTTTCCTATAGCTCTGTTCAATGAATAAGTGAAGCCTGAATATTACCTCTTGTATCGTAAGGCCATCCAAATCATGCTCAATGTGTTCAGCTCTAATGGAACTATTCTGGTTCCCATAAACTTCTGGGTTTAGCTTGCTAACAGGGGGAATTCCTGATGAAACATTCAGGTTACAAAATAATAAAATGACAAGTTCTAAAACATTAATAAACTTGTAAAATGACATTATTTGGTGTAGTACTCGGAGGCGACTGATGATGACAGGGTTAACTCCAGCTAGCATTTCTCTACCAAATTCCTCGTCTGTCCTCCACGCAGTCTTGTTGTCTGCAATTATAAGAAGATTAACAAGTTAAAATCATTACATTTTGCCATTGAAAAACCAAATGAATTATTATGAGAGACTAAGAGTTGACCTTTGATCACATCAGGTACTGGAAATTTGAGGAATCGTTCGCCATCATTCCGAAAAAGCTCTCTCATTATCTCCCAAGGAATGCGTTCCCTAATTTTACTTTGTTTAGGTCCCTTTGGCAATTCGACACCCCTATCATAAAGTTTAAGTATATCTTCGAAGGTGTCAAAGTCATTGAAAGTTTTGTCACCGATAGACCTGATCTCAGGAAGCAGTACTTGAAGAAGGGATTTTACGGCATAGGCTAGGAAATCCGAAAACTTCAAGTGCCCAAACCGTTCATCCCTCGGAACATAAATGTCTAGACTAAGAAGAGGCAATCTTTTCTCACTTTTGGGATCTGCAGCCATGAAAAAACTAGTTCATCAACTTAGACTGTTATGATATATATACGAGAAGACATGGACTTAAATATGGTATTTTTATTTGACAAACCTTTTTTGGTGGGTTTCCGACCAGTTCTTCCTCTACGAGGATATGGATGCTCCTTCCCTCCAAGGACAGGACGTGCATATTCTGGGCCCTTATCTGGGAATCCTAAATCGTTGTAGTAGGCATAGTCGTATACTCTGTCCCACTCCTTAAGTTCCCCTGAACCATTTCCGCGTAGGTTTGCCAGTTCTTCTTCCCTGAACTTGCGCAGTGGCTCAGGCGTTTGACATGGAAGGTAGGTCTAAACCACAAATAAATGCCAAAAAAAAAAAGTCAAAATTGCAGATCATTAAAGAGATTACTATTTTAATATTTCATGGCTTTTGCATGACTTTCAGGCTACTCGTTCATATTTCAAGAAGTTTTTTTTTAAAAAAAAAAATTACGGATGATCTGGAAAGCCAATATCTTTTGGAGACTATCCGACTCAAATTATAAAACTATAATTCTTATATATTTTTCCTTAAAAAATGCAGAGAGAATCACGACGTATCACCCGATATCAAAGTAATGTCCCTAAAAAATATGATGAGTCAGGCAAGTGATGTCTTTGCTGACAGAACGAGACCTTAAAGGAGCTTCCACAGAGAAAAGTGAACACAAATGAAGAAAATCAAAAAGAGAGAATTATCATGAAATAAAAATTATGAGATAAACTCTGTCTAAGGCCCACATTTAACTTCTAAAGTATAAGAAAATTCATGAAGTTTTCAGTGGTTGTTCTGAACCTTTTATCATAAAATAATAGCAGTGGCAGCCTATTCTGAATCTTAACTATCACATCTTCCATCGTCTGCAAAATCTAAAAAGCAAGAGCGAAATAAAGGGAAAAAAATTACTTTATTGGAGAAGAAGACACGATTATACTTGTATCGATGTGCAGGGTAAACCCAGGAATTGCAGACAAAATGTACAGGATCATGCCCAGGAATGTCTTCTAAGGTGACCGTTTTGAGGTAAAATTGGCTGTGATGATGATTTCGGATTATGAACGCCCCAGGAACTCCCATGCTCTCATCCCAGTCAATCGTAAGTGAGAATTCTGTGTCTGTTGTTGCCGTTACCGAGGATATGGTTGAGATCCAATTCTCCAAGTGTGTCACCTTTCCCAGCCTCCCTCTCAGCCCATTTTCTAATAACATGCCAAAAAAGAAAACAATGAGGAAACTAAAGTTCAGTTCTTGACTTTTAGTAATTCAACTCAACACCAACAAGTAAAGCATTCTAAAACAACCCATCCTCAGTATGATATGATTCTCCCTGTTGCTTGGCCAACCGGTTGATTCAGACCCTTTGCTTGTTGTTTACTCTTCTCGTGATGCAGAAGTTTTATGCGTATGAGCATGACCAACAAGTGTAAGAAAGACATAGAGAAAGAGATGAGAGTGAGTTGACTTCACCTGGGTCAGGTTTAACGGCACTAATGAGCTGGATGGACACACCCTTGCCTAGCAACTCATGAACTCTATCCAGAACAGAAGCTCTGATGTCATGGAAATCCAACACACCCTTCTTCATCAGAACCACTTTCCCCTTGATCTTCCTGCTTCCCTCCGCCTTCTCAACATTTTTCTTCTTGTTCTTCACACACAACACTTGACAGAACCCCATGATTTGCTCTGCCGCAGAGATATAATCAAAATCTGCACATATATGGTGTTGTAATGTGTTCATTAGGAATCGCATGGTGTGGGGACTATCCATAAAACAGTAAGAATGGGCAGTTTTGTGTGAAACCAAAGAGAGAGACTTACCGCTCTCTGTAGTTACAAGGAAGGAGTCTTGACCCGCTGGTGATCGGCTTCCTTTTTACTTACTCACATCTGGTTCCCTCCATGTGATTTGTCTCGCGAAGGGAGTTTATAAAAAGGATTAAGGAGGGCAATTCGGTCTTAGCGCCCCTCATCCGGCAGTTGCTGGGCTTGTGTGTGTATATGACTTGAGGTTGGATACACATATTAAAAGGAAAAAAACGGGGGGAAAAAAATCAACGTTTACAGAATTAATGACAGGGGAGAATCGCGGGTGAAGGGGGGGAGTTATTAATGCTTGGGACCCAATTAATGGGGTTTTGCATCTTTATCTCTTTAGTGATGAAGAATTAAAGGACCTGGTTCCTTCATCCGGAGATTAAAACAGTTGGATTACTGTATAAGGAACAAATTTGATGGTCGAGTCAATAGAATAATAATAACGTAGCATGTGGACGGCATTAGATTCTTACCCCGCGCTGCTTGAAATGCATTATTTTAACATTTATGTGGTAACCATCCAGACGAAGTGACTGCTTCCCATTAAACGAAGCTTCATCAATTCAAGAAGACGCCCAATAATTATATCCTGAGGAGGCCGCTGGGTCATGATGAAACAGAAGCTGACATTTTCATTAACAGGGGAGTTAAGGTTTTTTTTTTTCCCAGTTGGAAAACGACGCTGAAAATAAAGAATCACCCAAACTTACATGCTAAGGAACATCTTCACTAGGGGATCGAAGTGGGAACCAATCAGATGATGCCATCTGTTTTGAGTTGCTTGGCTTGAGGAACCATCAAGGAAATTGAGGGAAGGGAAGGGAAGGAACAAATTAAATATCCACCTGCGACACAGGACACTGGCAATAAATGATCCATGCGATAGTTTAGCTTTGGTAAGGTACCCAATATGAGGATATACGCCGAGATGAAAACCCCATTGTGCCCTTGTCTTCAACATAGTATATCATATCTCACCCACTGCTCATCATATGGTACTGGGAGCAACTGTTGAAAATGACCCCACACCCAAGGTCATTATGGACCAACAACGATGTACAGCACTCGTTATGGAACAACAACGATGTCCAGCGCTTGACTAGAGTACCCCTTTTACTCGAACATATATGTAGTACTACATCATCACATCAACGTATCCTCAGTTCTATCTCCCACAAAAAGCATCCACGGGTCACATTACGTAGGGATGAGCCGAGTTTGATTATATTGGCAGTAAAGACAGATAAAGGATGCCTGCAAGGATCGGGTCTGACTGGTCGCAAACGGAAACGCAAGGCGCTTTCCCTACCATGTCATGGGCTCGATACCTGCGAGTGCACCTGGGATTAGTCTGACCGTTTGTGGCTGGGATACCCTGAGGCAGCGATACCATCCTACTTAAAAAAAAGACAGATAAAGGATCACAAATCCCCCTTGAAGCCGCATTAATAATTAAGTCATACTCCTTGACCTTGATTACTGTCTATAATTTTTACCTTGCAAGTAATTAATTCCTTAAGCGTTTCGTAGAAAGAAGGAAAGAAGAAGCAAAGCAATGATTGAGTGTGGTGATGATGATGAGCTTAAACAAACTTGTGCGTGGGAAGCCATCAATTCGTGAAGGCAGAATTTAGTTAATTAGGCTGTGTGAAGGGACCAGGTGATGTACATATTGGTCTTCTTTCTCAATGGGTTGTTTGATCTCGTCATTTTCTCAGAACCCGCGTAAACAGATTGTGCATATTAATCTGCCCTTAAGATGGGTGAATTGACTGACTAATATAATTAAGAGCCACAACGCGGAAAGCTATAAAGGCGAATGGCTCATGAAAAAACAGTTAAGTTTGGATCCATTGAAGATTTAAGTTGGCCCTCTGCCTTTTTTTAAACCTTCTTTTGTATTATATATGTGAATGAGGGGTGCATAAAGAGCATCAATAACTGGTGTGGGCAGCTTTTTAACTTTGTAAGCTTTATGCGAGGCATATGGAAGGAACGGGAATATGAAAGTGCGATGGAGAGAGAGGTTGACAATTGAAAAGAAAAGATGAGAGAGGGAAGGATAGGTGGCTCATGAGAGTAACAACCACTCCCATCAAATCTAAAACATGATGGTTGCAGCTTCCACGAGGGCCGTGTGCAACTTGTATTAAACCTTAAAAGTTTACACTACACCCAAATTAATTAATTCTTTCTTTCTTCATGCACAGTGCACACACTCACGCTCCCACACTATAATTAATTAGTATTGTTCGATTTACAGATCATAGGTTGCTTGCTTGCTTCTTCTCTTCCGAGTAGCTGCTGCAAGAGGATGACTTTTTTTTTTTTAATTAATTTACGCTCATGGGCAAATATTTTGAACACCACATGTTTTGGGAACAATCTAGTTTAAAGGCTTAATTGCATGGATTATGGAGTCTATGCTGGCGTGCTTCATTTTAATTTTGAACGTTTCCATAGCATTTGCCACTGTACCATTTTATCAATTATTATCAAATACCCTTTATTTCTCCTAGCGTTACCATTTCTTTTGTCTGCTTATTATTATTAGATGTCGCCTTCGTGAGTTCTTTACTTTAAATTTATAGATGGCGGAATTAAAAGAAGGGTAGGAAAAAGAAATCAGAACTCCATGACGGGTGTACTTAATTGTTTCCATGATCATTTTTCTTTACCATTTTAAAAATAAATATTGAAAAACTTATCATAAAATTTTAGGAAAAGAAAATAATCATAAAGAAGTTTTAATGATGAGTAAGCAACATGAATTTTGTTGTTATTATTTCCTATACTAGAACTGTGAGACTTTTTGAAAATCACATTTTTACCTTGAGACGGCATGGTGATTTTCAGGAATAATATGTTTACACGTAATAATGAATTGAAATTAACTGGACAAAAAAATAATGATTTAAAATGGAGGAGGCAGGGAATGGTTTCCATATGGCATATACTTCTCCGGTTTTTAATATAGGACCTAATTATCGAGTTGACTTTTATTCTAAATATAAAACCTATTTATCATATTTATTATTTTTTTCTAAATTATTCCTATAAATACTATCTCAACCATAATCAAGTAGAAAAGATAGAGGGGATATCAAGAAAGATGATTATGATATTTTAGAAAAAAACATGTCATATTTTTAGATAAATAAATCTTATATTAAAAATGGTAGGAGTAACTTTTCTCAAAACAAAGAAAATCAAAGAAAAAATGATTTCCGTCTCCATCTCAGGAAACATAGAGAATCTAGAGCATGCCCCACCCTTCAACGTGAAACACGACTCATGCAGCAACCCAATCTAACCAACAAACCTTTAAGTTTAAGAGGCCAATACTTTTTTCCCAGCACTGCTCATTACTCTTAGTAGAAGCTAACACGATGTTTTTTTTTTTTTTGGTTACATCTAACACTCTGATTTTTGAATTGAGTTTGTGAGAACATAAAAAGATTTTTTTTACGGGAGATGTTATGTTTGAAATTTCAACTTGATAATATTCGAACGTGATATAATACTGCTGAACATGTAAAATATAAAAAGGATAGGGGACAATACCTTTTTTAACGATTGTTAAAGACCCACAAGGCATCTAATAAGATGGATTGGAATAATGCATACGGGAGAGAAAAAGAAAGGAAAATTAACGGCTTTAGCATAAAGGAAATTTTGGCGCACAATATCATGAACGCACTTTTGGTCTGCTAAACATTTTTTTTTAAAAAAAAGAAAGTAAAAAGCCTAATAAGATAAGAGACAGTACAGATATATTTGGTATTCGATGGAAAGGAACGAGTAGTGGCACCCAGTTGGAATGTCTCTGCATGTATTAAAGTTGAAATGTCCGATTATAATTTCCTGACTGTATTTTGCTTTCTATAAAAATAAAAATGACGTCTATTTTCATAAGACGACTCGTTTAAGAGAATGGCAGGAATATTTTAAACGCCATGGGCATGAATTGTGTGCGACGAAAAACTGGACATAAAATGGGTGTGCACTGCAAATGAAGGCGATGGGCGCCCCTCTTAGGCTTTGACAGGGAAGAGTGCGTTTCACACGTGTTATTTATTGTGCATTTAAAATAAGGGAAACCAAATAATTTAGCTTGTTTTCATTTGATTGTTTCGTAAAGCACTCAAATACTTCTTTGAAAAAGAGAAGCGCAGCCAGCCACAAGGAACAGTGAATACCTCATAGTCATTAGCATCACGGATACTGGATTTGGCATCCTGCTTTTGTAATCATTGCGCTTTGTGGTTCAAAGCATAATGCCGCATTTATTTGCGCTGCCCTTAACATGAGTGAGCGCGGAGTTCATTGGGTCCAATGGGCTTGGTAGTGGGATTTGGGCTTCATTTCGTCCCCCCAGAAAGCCCAAGCTATGGTCATTTAACTGTTTTGCAGCCCACTCAAACAGAACAAAAACACACTCAAGCAGAAATATTACTGGCACTGTGGGCTAGAGTGACTTCTGAGCCCAGAGGATTCATTTTCCCTAGTTGATTTCTTTTAGTTGTTGATGAGCTCTGCTCTCTTTTGTATCAAAAAAAAAAAGAAGGAAATAGAGAATATTACGGGCATATACCCTTGAGGGGGAATGGAAAGCATTAAGCATATGCCTGGAAATATGTTGACAAGGGGGAGTCATATTCCGCTGTTCCTTGATTGGTGTTTTTTGTCGTCATTGTCACGCGTATTGGATAAATGTTGGGATTTTAGGAGGAGTGTGAGCGGAGTTTTCAAAGACCAGGATTCTATTTCTGAATTTTAGGCCAGATACTATGTTGTTTATACCGCCCACACAAATAAATATTCAGACAAGAAGTGTGCATTCATCGATTTGTGATTTTATGGTATGAGATTTCAGTTCCATATCTTAATTTTACAAGATATCTTTCTAACCTTTCAACCCTAATACTGTTAGCCTAAAAAATGATGATTTTTTTTCTCTGTAGTTGTTACTGTTATAAAAATTAAACAATATGTTGACACCTGAAAATGTCGTGTTCACGTTTAAAATTTCAATTTTTTATTAACGTTATTGAGACTACTACATAATTAAAGAGATATTTTATAAAACTAATAAAGTTCTGTGTGAAATGAAATGACTAAAAATGCACTGTTATTCAGTATCACAATATGTCAACTTGGAGCTTTGATTTTTGGGGCGCAATCTAATAACTTGACAGATGTGGAGGGTCTGGTTGTTTTGATCATTTGAGGAGTGCGAGTATATAATTAAAAATGGAGACTTTCGGGAGGTGAAGCAATACTGATAAAAAGCAACGGATGAAGCGTTTCATGTTGCAACTCTTTGGTGGTTGGTTTTGCTTGCAAGGCAATGGTTTTATTTGTTAATGTCTTCCCTCACGCTTCATCCGCGCCCGCCATTACGAAAGGTATCTCTTCCAATACGCTTAAAGCTAAGTTCCCTCCCTCCTCTTTTCCTTTAACAGACAATAACACCCCATTAATTAGCGTCGTCCTTTCAAACAAAGCAATATCCAATCCACCAATCGAGTGGCCTATCCACACATCCATGCCCTTTATGCAAGCGCCTCAACTAAACAGTCCCTAATTATGAGAATAAATCAACATCGTCCAAATAGCTCCTGCAATTAAAAAAAAAGAACGTATTTACTTCATAAACATTGTTTGGCTCGCAATCCATTTCGTTGAAAGCAGCCTGAATCTTACAAATAGAAAAAAGTAACATTAAAATCAATGAGATTTAATAACACTCAAATATCAGGTGTGGGGACTGGTTTGTGATTTCACATCTAAAAAGCGGAGGTGGACGCTTGCTAAAGATAGCAAAAAGATAACAAAAACAAAAGCAGAATATATTCGGAGCCATAAAGGATGCCCTCCTCCGCAGGATAGCTCCTTTGAATCGAATTTTTCATAAAAGCTCACTTCACTGCTTTATGTTCTTACTCATATCACTTCTCATTTAATACAACACATCACCCCCCAAAAAAAAAAAAGTTAGCATTTCTTTCTAGCTTTCAACCGTGAGCCAAAAACACTAACTGCTTTTTCAGAGCCAAAAACACTAACTTCCCCCTTCATGTTTCCACCAAAGCGTATCCAACACGCCTATCATCAATCGAGTTCCACATCTATATATATATACACGCGTGAATATTTTGATCATTTATAATTCTTTTCGTAAAATCTATAACATTTATTGTGCATATGATCTAAATATTCTACAAATAATTAAAAAAAATAACAGCGGGGACAATTTTTTTTCCAAATAAATGAATTATATAAAAATTATAGGCTTTTTTTTTCAGCTCCAATGATATGCTTGACAATATGAGGGTTATACCTCGAAGAATAAAATGGTTCGCCTGCGTCGAATGTTTTAGTTTTACAATCATCCAAAATTTCGCAGAAACATGTAAATGTCTTCTTCTTTTTTTGGCCCGGGGGGGGGGGGTTGCATTTGGGTCTCTCGTTTATTTGTTTATCGTTGCCGCTGTTACTTTTTATTTTTTTATTTTTTTAAATTCTCCAACTAACATTAACTTTGGATCGTTGAGTTGACGATGACTCTGATTCCCCCATGTGAAAAACAACTATAAGCTTACTTAAGATAATGTATTATAATAATATTTGAAAACGAAAAAAACAACGACCAGAACAACATTTTGTTTTGTCGCCGGTGTCTCCGCCTGAGACCCACACCGTAGAGACCAGAGCAGCAACGACTCTCCCACCGATCAGTCTAATCTTTGTTAATTCAGATCTGCAAATTTAAATCCAACTACCCGTGAAATCAATTACTCCAGGAAACTGGGTTCTCAAATATAGGAATTTAATCATACCGTTTGGTTTTCTAGAGGTGGTCAAGTTTCAAGAGGTACGCCAGAAAACTGGAGAGGGGATATTGTGCAGCCCAATTTTTTTTTTTTTGCTAGTATGTGAACGTTAATGAGGTCCGGAAGAAAAAAGGCCTCTTCTTCTCGACGAACTGTCATGTCGATCTCAGGCGAGTCGTTTAAATTTCCATTCAATCTTTACTGTTCTATTTTTCTATTATTTTTCTATTCTCTGTCTGTTTTGATCTTCTACGTTGAGAAGTTTGCTTTTTTCGCTATTGTTAATCGTCCATTGTGGAATTTGATTTTCTATGGTTGATTAGTTTTTGGTTTTGGAGAGTGCGCTAAGAAATTCTAGCCCTTGGTATTTCGATCGGTTAAGATGGTTATACTTGTTCGTTTTTCACTGGCCCTTCGAATAGACTGAAGGCTTTTGTTAGATTGAAGGGTGGCGTACAATAGAAGAGGGTTTCAATACCCCCGTTTCCAGGGTTCTTATCAATTTTTAGTGCCTCGCTTTTTGGCCCATTTAGATGGTTTGATGATAGTCTCTTTTTTCCGAGGGAGTTGCTGGGCACAGTATGCCAGATTGAGACCACGACATATTAGTTATGTAAGGATTTTTCTACAGTTGAAAGGAGAATAACTGTTCCGGCTTTTGATTCTGGGATGAGGGAGTGGCAAGTCTTTAACTGTGGAAGGGCCATTCATTTTCACCTGACCAACTTCTTCTCCAACTAGCCTTGATTGGTTTCTTATAACATCTTAAATTTTTATTGGATAACAGTGGGGATATTCATCTGATATACAGATAGCCGTTGAACTTTGTTGGATTTCATTTTCCCCCCCCCCCCCAATTAACTGCCTGCTGCATAAGAAGTTAGCATTTGGTGTTACCTTTCTGGATAGGAGCTCTGGAGTCCCTTTGTCATATTAACCTCCTTTATGCATGAATTCTTCACATAGAATCCTAAAACTTGTTATCCTGTTCTGTGTGTGTGAGAGATTGCATAGTCTATTTATTATTTTCAAGGTTCTTCTTCTTATTTTGGCTTGAATTACCTGTCTCTGCAAAACTTAGCTGATGACTTTACAATATCTGAAATGTAGCATTTTGGCATGTTAACACTGGTCTCCCCCCCCGGGGGGGGGGGGAGGTGGCAGGGGGTGCTGGTGATTCTTCTATAAGCAAATATGTTCTGATCGCTGTTTGGTATTAAGCCACTGCAGCATGTGCGAAGTGATTCCCCCTTGCTTTATTGACTTTACCATCTTTGTTTTGCAGGGTTCCGTGAAATGCACCAGCAGGAGCTAGAAAATATGACACTAGCTACACAACCCTTCAAAACCATAAAATGTTTTACACTAGCTATGATAAACTATATGAAGCAGACAATATTATATTTGTTGGCGAAAGGCGGGTGGCTTATGCTTTCCAGTATTGTCGTAGGGGCTCTTGGCATAGTGCTGATAGCTATGGATGGTCTTCATGAGGAGGTATTTGCACATATTCTATCAGTAGCTTGCGCAGTGACTAAATAGTTTCACTTGGCTCTTTAGAGACTCTACGGGTGAATGGGTGATGAACTATTGTTTAATTTAGTCTTGACATTAATGAAATTCATATATATATACATATATATCCCTTTTGCTACTTTATTTATTAGTTTTGTCTTATTTCTATTTGTTCCTCTTTTCATGTTATATAAATTGGTGCTTAAATGCTTGTTATTTTTGCAGCATTTTGAGGAGATTGTGGAATACTTTCGCTTTGGATTGTGGTGGTTGGCCCTTGGGGTTGCATCTTCAATTGGTCTTGGTATGAAAAATATCCTTAAACAAAACTCACTTCGGACAAGTATGCCTAATTTTGTAGTTCATGGTTAAAAATATACTTGATCCTTAGACAATTTTGGCATCTGCACTTGGCAAACGTGCTTAGAGTTCGTAGGCTTAACTGTAAGGATGTACTAGTCCTTTTGCTGTCATCTTGGTTCATAAGTTGTGTGGCCCATGAATTTAAATTATCGTCCTCTTATATTCCTCTTTGTTGCAGGATCTGGTTTGCATACTTTTGTCCTATATTTGGGTCCTCACATAGCTTTGTTCACAATAAAAGCAATGCAATGCGGTCGAGTTGATTTGAAAAGCGCTCGATATGATACAATACAATTAAAAAGGGGTCCTTCTTGGCTTGATAAAGAATGCTCTGAGTTTGGACCCCCATTATTCCATTCAGCACATGGTTCACAGGTCTCTGTTGGCAGCATTTTGTCTCAAGTTCAGGTGGAAGCTATCCTATGGGGTGTGGGAACAGCTATTGGGGAGCTTCCCCCTTATTTTATCTCAAGAGCAGGTATAGTGAGCTTATGTTCATCTCAAATTCTTCCCTTTGTTTTACCGAATGATTGTGAAGTTGACACAATAATAATTGCAAACATGCTTTGGATCAAACGTGCTTCCTGTGGAAACAATCTATTTACATCTAACTTGTGTGATATAATTATTTAAAGGTTAATTATAGCTTCTGGATTTTTATTTCTTCTCATGGTTATCTATTCAATATATTTATATAGTTAGGCTCGTCTTTATTTAAAAAAAAAAAATCAGTAGTTGTCATATCTTCTGGAGCCTTTGGGCTTTTATTTATTTTACGAGTTCCAGAAATAAATCAAACTAGAATTTTGGGCTTTTGCCCTCCCTTGCAAGTGGAAGGTCAAGTCCATGACTTGGATATATGAATGGCACAACTATTTTGGTTGAATTTATTGGGATTATGCTTATTAGGTAAAATGTGGTTAACTTGTAAATGGATCAAAATGCATTAGCTGTATTTGCAATTGGAGAGATGAAACAAGGATTAAGGACTATTCAGATAATCTAATTTTTTAGAACTATTCAATTCAGCATTGGTTATTATCACCCGCATGTCTCCTTAAGTTTGTTTGTGCAATACAGGCCGTAGGGTTCATCTCATCACCATGTATGTCCCTGTGTCATATGATTTGCTTTTGGAATTTTATTCTCTTGCATACTCCTTGCCCTGAAAAGTTTATTTAGCCATATGATGCGCTAAGATCAAATTTATATGACTAGATATGGGCCTTGGCATTGCAAGGAGTCTAAGTGAGCCGCTATTCATGACTTGTGTATAGCGTGGCTTTCTGTACATTATATATATTGATATTGAATTATCTAGAAATTTCTGACTGGCATTTGTTCTGTTTCGGTTACTGTGCTAATTTATTTATGTCAACCTGGGAATTTGATGTTTTGTTAATTAGTTTCTTTTAAAATTGATTCATGCATACTTAAAATAGTTGTCTTAGTGCAGCACGCTTGTCTGGTAGCAAATTGGATGCCATGGAAGAGTTAGATACTGAAGATGGAGGAGCCATTGCCACACATCTGACTCAAATCAAGCGTTGGTTTCTTACACGTACTCAACATTTGAACTTCTTCACCATCTTATTGCTTGCTTCGGTTAGTATGGACTTCATACTGAAGATAGATATAGGACTAGCTCTTCAATATACTGCTTAGTTCTTTATGTCTTCCTTTCTGTCTGAAGTGATTATTTATGTTTGATCACCATGAAAATGCCGTTGACTGAAATTATAATTCAGGTGCCAAATCCCCTATTTGACCTTGCTGGCATCATGTGTGGACAATTTGGGATTCCATTTTGGAAATTCTTTCTTGCAACCTTGATCGGAAAGGCACTTATTAAAACTCATATACAGGTTTGCATTGCTCATATTAAATATAGGCGAAGATATGAAGTAGGATATGATAGAATTATGAGAAAGGTCCAGTTTTACCCCTCCGCTTCTCTTCTATTTGACTCTATTCTTCTTTTGTGCAGACGTTATTCGTCATCTCAGTTTGCAATAATCAACTTCTTGACTGGATAGAGAATGAATTCGTCTGGGTTTTCAGCCACATACCTGGTTTTGCTTCTGTCTTGCCTACTGTGATCGCTAAACTCCACGCAGTTAAAGATAAGTACATGAAATCACGCCATGCAGTTTCCCCAAATAACCAGGTATCTACATGTACTGAAATGTCCTTCCTTTTTGTTTTCTAAGTGGTTTGAAAATGTCAAATTGCCCAATATTGAATGAAAGCTTCCTTCTTCGTTTCCTGAAATATTATCATTTGATCTCCAGGGGAAAAAGTGGGATTTGTCATTGGCTTCACTCTGGAACACTGTTGTGTGGCTGATGCTCATGAACTTCTTCGTCAAGATAGTGAATGCAACTGCGCAGAACTATCTCAAGGGGCAACAGGAGATGGAGATTGCTGCAATAACAAAGAAATCTTCGTCCACAGAATCAGACACGCAATAAAATTCCCTCTATCCTGCTTGAGTTGCTACTTTTTATAGTTTGGTTCCTTTTCCCAGTGGAAACACGGAAATGCTGAAGGGCCTATTAGGAGCATTTATGAGACTATACAAAGCATGGTGTGCAACAGAAGTTGCAACTTCGTTCTGTTAGTTTTAACTCCAGGGAGTATTATTTGGAAATTGGAACGACTTATAGATTCTAACACAGTATTATCGGCTGCTTGCTAGGGTACATGTATGGGACTCCCACCATTCTTTAGCAATTCAAGACAGTTATTTGTTCATTTACCTCTGAACTTATTATTCTGCCTTCCCCGCTACCAACCTTCCCCATTAAATGTATTGTGATCTTTTCTCTCACAAGACATAAACGGCCTGTGCCTGGATAGTGGGGTGATTGAGCTTTACAGCGATGATCCTGTAAGCTGTTTGGTGAATCGCGTGGAGTGCAGGAGGGAAGAAAGTTTCAAAGGTCCCTTCAAGTTCATGTAGACAAACCCACTAGGCAAATGATTGTCATATAATTCTAGTATGTCGAATCTGGAAATAACGATGACCAACTAGCACGCTATGACAAACGAAAGGAAGGTTAGAAAAAAAATTTCCAAGATTATGTACGGTTTTGGCTTTAGATAAAGCCAAGAGAAGAATACTGATTTGAGGATGGGAAATACCGAAATAACATCATAATGAAATCAGAGCAGCCGCACATGGGCTATAATATAGTATTACCCATTGGATTAATCAATTGATGTCCGTCATGATAACCATGGCAATCCAACGGACTGCTTAATAATTGAATTTAAATACTAACAATGCCTAATTATGCTTAATTAAATAATTAGAGGCAGCCTAATCAGCGAAAGCTATCCAAAGTTGGTTTGCTTCTGGTGCAGATCATGGTTACCAAAAACCAATAACGGAGAAAAAGGCTAGCATCAAGGGTGAATTGCCACAGCCCATACACTTGAAACGATTTTGAAATGCAGGACATTTGTTCAAATAAAAATAGGGGGTGATTTATTGCCTTCAGGCCATGATCTAATCATTAAAAACATTCGGGGTCCTCCATTAACTAATCCTAACCGCTACAAGAAAGATGCATTTGATTAATATACGTAATTGTAAAGGGAATATATAAGGAGGGGGACAGTGCTGGGTTCACTGTTCAGTTGCAGACTGATAACATGCTGCAGAAGCAGTATATAAAGTCTGGAATATTTTAATGCTCCAAGATCCAAAGCTCGTGAATAGCCCCCACAGCACCTTCGTATTTTAATGTTTTGTTATAGCGCCAAACGCGCATCTCATTGCTCTGGGCTTAAAATCTGAGCCCCTGCTTCTGCTATTATATAATATGCTTTTCACGGTGGGACTGGAGCCAGATCTTTGATTATAATATCCTCTGCGTGGGCCTAGAGGATTTCTAAATTGGGATGCACCAATCCTTGCATCGGAAATATAATAGGAAACCAATAAAGAAAAGGGGGGGGGGTGGAGAGATCAAGGAATGATTAGATAGTAGTATATTATCATGTTTTCATTTTAATATTCTGCTGTCGTTTTTTTTCAAAGAAAGAGGAATTTTTAAGAATTTTGAAATGATTGTGGGCGGTTGATGTTGGCGTTGCTTGTAGTGGTATTTTATTGGATGGTAACAAAATGAGGTGAGATGAAAATGAATTTACAGAGATGGTGAAGACGACGCTTAGAGGCATTAGGGAGATTGACAGGGAAAGCAGTGGAATTGAGCGGAAAGAAAGGACCCAGAAGTTGAAACACACTTCGTGGGGATATTCACATTTTGACAAATCCAATGTTGGATTTCATGAAGTGCCAATCAAAAGCTGCCACGCTCCTGGCTGCTCCTTCACTACCCTTTCATGTTCTTATACACACAGACACACACACGGTATTTTGATTAAGAAATGAGGGGTCTAAGGTAGGCCTATAGGAGCGGGGTGGGGCCTCTGTTACATGCGGACAAAAAGATTGAATTGAAAGCTCCAATGCCTAATGACCAAAGTGCCCCGGTGTGAGCGGTGAGTGAGACCCGCACAACACGGCAAGTGGTGGGCCCCATCCCCATCTCTCCTTCTTTACTTTGCTTTTGAATTTTGATATTATCTTCTTCTTCTTTTTCTTCTTGGAGTTTTATGCGGGGACAACGACGTTTGTTTGATAGGATTCATGGGAGGGGGTAGCGTGGAATTTTAGACACTAAAAAAAAAAAAAAAGAAAGAAACCCAACTAACACACACACACTCTTAGACACGCCCATTTTGTGAGGTTGTTGTCTGTCTTCCAAAATCCAAACTTTTTGATGGGCCCCATACTCCTCTTTTCTATGCTTTCTGGAAAACGACCCCCTCGCTGCCCTCTCCCTCTCTCTCTTATCCCTTTTGTGCTTCTCCTCCTTCCTTATAAATACTCACAAGAGTGCCACACAGAAACAGAGAGGGATCTTGTGTCAAACCCAACGATGATGGGCGCACTCATCTCTTACTTCATTACCTGCCTCATTGCTGGTTCTTACCCTGTTTCTTTCTCACACAATGTTGATAGATTTCTTTTGAGGCTGCTGGCTTCCCCCTCTTCTGCTTCGTTCTCAATCCATAGTATTGCAGTTACAGGTCCTGGGCTCCAACCTTGGCTTCCTGGGACGCAGAAGTTAGCCATCTCCATAATTCTCTCCCTACTCGCTTATCCGCATTATCCATTTCAGAAATTCAACCACTATCCCCACCAATCATGTGCATTTTCCATTGCATTGCAGGCGGGTGGGTTTCTGCAAATTCCACCATTTTACCTTCCACTCATTAATTTTCAATTGACTGCTTGTTGACGCTGCCGCACAAAGTCGTAGTCCGGTCATTCACAACTTCTTTTGCCTGTTGAAAATACTGCACAGAAAAGAAATGGAGGAAAGGAGTTAGGAAGCTGAATTCAAGGACTCATCAACTGGAGCTCATTTTCAGTTCATTAATTGATGCATCATTTGCGCAGATACTGCCATCCTCTCTTCAGCGGCAATCAATGGTCGGTTTAAATCAAGGAGGGGAGCAGGGCAGGACCCCATTATTGTACCGTCTTGGCCCTACTTCCTCCACTGTAGGCGCACAAGATGGACAGGGACCAGTCAAGAATTAACTTCTCGAAGAAAGAAAGAAAGAAAGGTAGTTGTTATTGTTGAAGTCAAGATGAGTGATAATAAACAGCATCTCACATGATGTTATGGGGTGAGAGACTTGTTAGTACCAACCCAATTCAGGGGGCACTATAAATTATGGATGAGCGGCACATTTGTTGCAATGCTGTGTGTGGCCATAATAATTATCCCAATTCAATAAAGGAGGAACCCACAATCCCCATCCCCTTTGGTTCTCAATTCCCCACTCAGTTCGTGTTGGTTTGCCCAAAAGCAAATTTCTGACACAGTCAACATCGCAAGTCCAAATCCCAACCCAAACGGTTAATCAGCTGCTCACAGCTATGAGAAGGGTCTTGCCTTGGGGATGATATGCTTTCTGGCACCATGCCACATCATACGGGATTTAATCTTGCCTTGATTTATTTATGTGAGGTATTATATTATATTTTGAAAGGCTGTCGCTGTTGTTGGGATGGCAAACGTCATACTTATTTTCATTTCACTGCTCTTGTTTGAGCCATTCATTGCGTGACCTTTAATTTGTATTGGATTCACCTAAAATCGAATTCTTTTTATTAAAAAAAAAAAAGGATTGACTTGAGAACATGTAGGAATTGACGGTGCAGAGGAAAGGCAATGGTGGGGCCAACAAGGTGGGATAAGTCAAAAGTTGATGAGCGCCATTTGGTTATCCTAAGAGAATTTTATTATTAAGAAGACTAAGATACGAAAAAAAATGTATGACAATATTGTTTAAAAACCAAGCCGTGGACTTGGGCAATGGGTGACGGGCACGAAGGACTAATGCTGAATGGGGCCTTCCTGTGAAAGAGCACAAAGAAGAAGGACACGCAAACATTGTCTTTTTCAGTTGGCCTCCGTATTGCTAACGGACACACAAAGAAACACAAATAAAGCGAATCCTTTCTTTTCTCCAATTGCCATTCTAACATTCACTCTTTCCCACAGGCCCCAATGCCCCACACCTCATTTCTCAAGGCTTATTCACATCTCCCTCTCATGGTAAATTATATAAGCTATCTGTAATTTTTTTTTGAAAAAAAATAGAAGATCATTAAATATTACGTTTGAAAAAACCATATAACGAAATAATCATATAACTTGGACCGTTTAATATGATATTTCAGGTGGATAGTATTGCCAAATTGTCCAACTGGGAAGGATGCATCATCCAACTTGGGAGGATATAATAGGATAGGACGATTTTCAACACAACAATAATCATAGAAAAGATAAAGAGATGATATTTAATGAAACAGATAGGAGCCATGTGGTTGTGAAGGATACTCCCAATAAAAGGATCCACACGTTTCCTCAAACCAATTTCGTCTATAGCATCTCTGCAAGGGGGCCCACAATAATTTTAGAACAGATGCAGCCACCACCTCTGCTGAATAGAATAAATGTTTAACCTCGCTCCTTTTGTCATTATTCTTCACTCATTGCCATCCAGATCATGACATGGCCTCAGCCAAAATCAGCAAATTTTTATTCAGGCATCCTAGTTCTGTCACTATTCTCATAACAGGGATTGCAATTAGTATTTCATTGAATTTTTGCCATCATTTCCCAACGGAAATTGATTCGTTTTGTTACACCCCAAGCCTCCCAGAATTCTGGCACATTTGTAAAATTATCCCGCTATTAATTACAGCCTAACTTTATGTCGTGAGAAACTTGTATGGTTGTTACAACCCAGTTTGCAATCATCTTGCTCATCGATTCTCATGGAACACTCTTATCTCCAATATCTAAACATTACCAACGCTTCTGTAAAACTTAACGGATTACAAGGACTTGATCTCATACGCTGGATCTTAAACATCAATTACCATTTTAGGCTTCTTTAGGTTGAGGTGGGGAAAAAAAAATACTATTAATACACGGCGATTAGCATTCGATCTGGGCTATTGCTGACCCAGGTGAAAAGAAATTGCATTGCACAGGAATCACAACAGCTCAAAAGAGGGACTAGCAAGTAGCAAATTTTGTGGCTACCTCTATTATATTCTGCTACAATGATACATATCTCATGCTCTTCCATATAGATATGTCAAAAGATGTTTCCTGCTCCTCTTTCTAGTCTAGAAAGCAACAACAATAACAACATCAAGATGAAAGGAGAACAACCGGGAGGAGAAAGAAAATGTAGGAAGGCTTCCATTACAAACCCAACGGAAAGGTGGCTCTTGCCCTCCTTTCCTCCACCTTGTTTCAACTTTCATCCTTTCATACTAATCCTGCCAACAAGTACTGGTCCAAAAGCAGTTTCTCCCCACATCAACCCCACTTCTCCAAAGAACAAAAAGAATTTTGATTAGACTTCAAGATCAACCTTGTCAGATTATAAACACAAGTGTACAGAGATTGCTACACACACTTCACTTCACGCACATTCCATATAGTTCGTCAGACTTTCCGTCCAAAATAATGAAAAAGTCTCTTCCCATTTGATTCATATCTCGAGGCCGTGGTATGCTCATATTTGCACCTTCCATCTCCTTCGAACGCGCACATTGCAAAATGGCATGACCACATGAGAAAGACACCGTCTTCCACTCCAAAAAAATTAATCCAAGTTATAACCACTTTTACTCAGATTGCATTTCCGCTTTGTTTCCCATATGCACAGTGAAGTAAACCACCAACGACATCATTTTACTCACCTGCAGGTTGTTTCTGCTCCGCTGGCTTCACTTGAACTGCAGCAGACACAGCATAAGGGAAGCCCGCAACAAACTGATGGTGGCTTCCAGATTGTTGCGCTGCAGCAAAGTGTGCAGGATGCATGAAACCTTGCGTTGATAAACCAGCACCTTTCAAATTGCTTGCTGCAACAGCGATCTTAGAAGAATCAGTAGAGCTGGTATTAACAATCGTAACTGGAGTACAGAAGGACAGCATGCCATTAGAGGAAGTGCCTGACGAGCTTTGCGGCTGCATATGAGAATCAGGGGCACGTCTTTGAAGGTAGTACCCACTTGTAGCCGAAGTTGTAGAGGGGGAACTACCTGATTGTGTTGCTTGGGGATTCATATAAGCACTTGAGAAGTATAGCTGCGCCTGCTGTAATGTTTGCTTAGATAGCTGCGGCTGCTGTTGTGGCAATTGGGGTTTCGCCCCAGTGCCAGAAGATGGAATCAGCTGCGAGCCACTAAGGATTGACGGTGCATTCCTCCCACCAACAGGTGAAGACTTCTGACTCGGCATTGCTTGTGAACTCTTAGGTTGCTGAGTTGATAAAGAAGCCTGGCCAACCTTACTGCCAGTTGACGTAGACATTGTACGTGGGCTACCCCCGCTTTTGGAAATTGAGGACGTTGTTGGTGAGCCACCCATAATTGGAGATGGAGAATGGGTGGAGCCTGGAGGTTGCCCTTGGGTTGCAGTAGAGGATTTAAGATTGGTCGCAAAAGATATTTGTGTGTGACCTTGCTGAGAACGAGCCTGCTGCTGAGGAACAGTTTTAGCTGATGAAGGTGTCGACATTGACGGAGGAGGCTGAGAAGTAATTGGCCTCACAGAATTCTTCCATTGAGGTGACTGAGCTGCAGCACTGCTGCTTTGTGCAAGGTTTTGAGGATATGCAGATACAGCACTGGTAAAGTTGTTGGCCACCGAAGAAGCAGAAGGAAGGTGATCTGAGTAGACATTTCCATTACTTGAGGATGGTGTCTTGCTTCGCGGAGCAGCTGTTGCTAATTGATGCTTTTGAATCTGAATTGTTTGCTGCTGTTGCTGGTTTCGCTGCATCTGCTGCTGAGAACTGACAGTGCTGTTATTGAATGTAGCAGGCATGCCAGAAGCCAAAGCCCGGGATGTACCAGAACCAAGGTTGAGAGTTCGGGCTGAGCTATCAATGACGGTGTTCCCTGTAATTGCAGATATTGAGGGATCTGACACCTCTGACCTAGAGAAAACAATGGACTGTCCTCCGGTTGCAGGAGCTTTTCCTGCCATTGCTTTCCTGTCTTCATCTGGGTTACAAGAATCACCTCCAGTTTTCCCCGCTTCCGAGACACGATAGTTTTTCTTCTGCTGAGCAGCTTGAGCTGCCATTATTTGAAAGTTTTGGCCCTGCATAATTTGATGGTTCTGGGCAATAGATGAGAGGTCAAGGCCAGTGGCAGTACTAGCGCCATTAATGGACGCAAATGATATGGCAAATGCCTGAGAAGCTTCCACTCCAGCTTTTGTACCAGTATGCTGCTGTTGCTTCTTTTCATTGTGACTGCCATTAGCACTGGTAGCAGCACCTGCACTACCAATTGACGCAGGTGTCATCACAGCAAAATTTGGGGGGTGCATTGGCATTGCAAAGTTGTGGCCATACATATTCATAGGAGCACGAGAGAGCCTACTATCTGCAGTAGATGGGCTATCTTCACCACCCATCTCAGGATGAGAAGCATGATGATTGGGCAGATGCTGCCTCTGTTGCTGGTGCTGCTGTGACTGTGCTGGCTGGGTTTTGGATGAGGCAGGAAAACCTTGCAAGCTTCCAGCACCACTCGTGCCAGCAGCATTAGGCTTTTGTTGCTGATTCTGCAAATGCTTTTGTGAATGTGATGAACCACTAGACATATTTGTGCTCTGAAGACCATGTTGATTCTGTTGAGATTGAGCAGGAAGTTGCTGCTGCTGAAGCTGTGAAGGGTGGAGCAATTGAGGAGGATAGAAAGAACCATTGAAGAATGGCAGAGCTTGGGCATGGGTTCCTCGGTATGCAGGTGGGCCGCCAACATGTGCTGGAATGGGGAACGGGTATGGATTATTCTGCAAAATTGCCAGGTATTGAGTTTCGTTGCCAGGCATATTAGGGTAGCTGAAGTTCATTGTTGGTGCAGATGCAGGCCCCGTAGCAGAAGCACTTGTCGAGACTGCACCAGATGTACTAGATGATGATATCCCAGTGCCTGTAGAAGGCAGAGACTTCACAGATCCAGGTCGAACGGACGCAGCAGCAGCTGCCTGCTGTTGGTTCAGTGGGAAGATGAAAGCAGGACCATGCTGGAATTCACGGAAAAGCAATCATTAGCGCAATTAAAATTCATGATTAAAAAATGAGCAGGGGGAGAAATAATAGCTAATGATCAATTAAAATTAGAAAATGCCACCGGAGAAGAAAACAAATCGTACCAATATATTACTAGGTGCTCCTGGGGGCAGAGCTTGCTGAAGCAATATTTGCTTTCTCTGTGCATTCTCAATGTTGGCAGCCTGGGAGCCTTTTTCCTTCCCAAGATGACCTGGAAATATGGCAAGACTATGCCCTTTGTCTTGAGCAGAGTTTGCAGTCCTGCTGACAATATTACCTTGTGATTCGGTAGAAGGTACCATACCCAGATTGCAGGCCTTAGCACCGTATAATGATGCAGAACCTGCTGCCGCAGGCCAGAACGGACTCATCCTTACAACCTGTTGGTGATATGATATAGCGCGAGCAATGTAGCAATGGGTAAAACATCTTTTGGGCCGAGGCTGATTGAAAAGTAGATGAGGTGGCTGAAAATGTCAAATATTATATATGGAGACTTTAGTGAGCATTTTTTGACGATTTAAAAAAATTCAAAAAAGAAAAAGAAAAGGAAAAGGAAAAGACCAAAGAAAAAGAACCCTATTCACAAAATATAAAAAGAAAGCGCACGTACTGGTATTGCTGGAGAAGATACGGCGGTGCCGTCCATGGATACAACTCCTTGTAGAGGCGTCATGTATCTGCTAATGAGAAGATAGTCATATCCCAAGTGAAAAAGAAAGAGAGCGAAAGAACCCTCACACCGCTAACAGGCGTTAATAACAGAAACTGATGAGCATTAACCCAACCGTACCCCATAGGAGGAAGCCCGCCGGACCAGCCGGGAACAGAGATCGGCAGAGGCACAGAGCTGCATTGAACTGTAAGAAAACAGGAAAACCTCCCTTAAACGACTCAGATGGGCAAATACAGGAGGGCGAGATAGAGTAAATAATTCAGATTGAACATACCGGCTTTCTCTGAGTTCGATTGTTGCGGCTGCCTCTGGGCGTTCTGTTGATGCCTCTTCCCAACCATGTTGCCACCGCCATTATCTTTATTAGTGCCCTCTAAATTCACCCGTAGATCGCTACTCATTTCTTTTTGAATGTTGTCTGGTTTTAGGGTATTGGCATCGTCCACCGCTGCTCTCTTCTTATCAGCTCCGACAGCCACCGCCTCATCCTTGTTCATCTTCTGTGACTTCTCATCTTCTTTTACCATTGGCTTCGTCTCCTGCTGGCACCAACAGCCAATAAATTCATTTCGCCTTCGGCAACAAAAGATTGTGTAAGTATAAAGAAAGATACAAAATCAACCCGCTTACCATTCCAGATTCTGCCGCCAAATGCTGCGGACCCCCAGCTGCAAAATTAATTTCCACCTCTCTTTCTGGAGAATGTCTTGATGGAGGAGGTGGCGCCTGCAAAATCAATTGAAAGAGAAAAAGTAAATAGAAAGCATAAACAGCAGTGAGAATTTAGAAAATTGCAGCAAGGAAAATAAAACACACCATCAGATCTATCTGGATCTTCTCTTCCCGCTGGCTCACACACTCGGAAATGATTTGGGTCCTGAAAAACCAAGAAAATCAAAAAGAAAAACCAAGTTTCACATTTCCGAGCAAACCCACCAGAAGCTCAGCAGAGGTGCGAGAGACAAGTTAATCATGCTTACGATTTAGACGCTTTCACATCCTCAGAGTCGTCATCTAATTTCGGCACAACGGATTCCTTCTTCGGAGACTGAGGCTCCTTCCTCATTCCCACATCTGGCCTTTCTGAGTCTTCCGTCGCAGTCTTAGAATCCGAAGACATGTTCCTTTCCAACTTAATCGACTCCGGCTGAGCCTCAGGTTGCGGCGGAACGACTTGGGAACTGGGTAAACTGCATGACAAACCGCCATTTTCGGATGCAGATCCAGCGGTTTTATCAAAATTTGGCGAACAAGTTTCGACTTTAGAAGCCTGATCACTTTCGGCCTTTGAGGTTGATGCAATGGAGCCATTCCGAACGGCAAAATTCGTTGGATTTTCACCCTCATCCTTCGGGGGACGAGGTCTTTTCCTCTTGGGTGCTGCTGCAGAGTACAATGAAAAGTCCAAATAAGTTTGACAACGATGTTCTTCCTTCACCCCCATTTTTTGCCGACCGTATGAAGGCAAAAATGTAGGAAAATATCAGAACAATTGAGCTTTGAAAGCTCAGAGAACCCAACCAACAGCAGATAAGGGAGTTGTAGTAGTATTCGAACCTTGGGGCGGAACTGCTGATGACACAGGCGGTGCAGATTGTGAATTCGAGATCGGTGAAGATACCCTGGACTTGCCATCACCGGAAGATTTGCCAGGGTCCCTGGAGTCAAACTTCAATAAATCATTCGCCAACGGTTCTTGCTTAGAAATCCCTTGAGGCTGTCTCATCATACCGTACAAGACTTCGGCGATCTCTATCTCGATCTCATCCTGAGCTGAAGAAGATTTGGATGACGATTTTGGGGGTCGAGGCTTGGGTCCACTGGGCTTCTACAGCAGAATAAGAACTCGTTAGTATGCAATCGCAAGCCAACAAGAGAAAGCGATAAACAGCAAGAACTCACTATCTTCTTGCGAACCGAAGCGTTAGACGAAGACGGCGACGCCGGAGATGGAGAAGGTCCCATCCCCGTCGCTGTTACGCTTGTTCTCACAGGAGAAGTTGACGCTTGCCTGTGGAATTGCTCCCCCACTATTCCACCATTTGAAGCCCAACATTCATGCAATCTCTTCGTAGACGCTGAGAAGAGAAACAAACGGAGAAGGAAGTGTTAAAGTCTCATGTTTTGATCATCAATTGGAATACAGTCAATTCGATTACTCCTCGTCCGAAGCACTCTACCTGACCGTGCCTTCCTAGGAACCAAGACCCCAATCATCTCATCGGCGGCCTTCCAAGTCGACGCTGCTCTAAAATCTTTCGCCGCGGGAAAGCTCTTCCGATGGTTCGATAAGGAGGACGATAACGATGATGGGTTGAGCGGAAGCATTCTTACTGAACCACCGCCAACATCATCATCCTCGTCTTCTTCATCATCGTTGACACTCTCCTCCGAGCTATCTTCTCCACCATCTTCTCTATTGTTGCCGTGCATCAACCTATCCCCTCTCCTCCTCTTGGTGCGACTCGATCGATCCCTCTCGCGCTCTCTGTCTCTATCTCTGTCCCTCTCGCGATCTCGATCCTTTTTCGCAGTCCCTCGATCTCTGAGCCTGGTTGGGTCCTGGAGCTCCACAAGTCCATCTTCCTCTGCAAGTCATAAAAAAGAAAAAAGGAAGGCCATCAGAAATCACGGAACAAGAAAGGGTGTTTTGTGTGAAATTAAGACGAAGAATATAAATATGAGAGTTACAGATCTGATGGGATTACCAGGGGAGTCTCTGAAAGTGTGAGTCCTGTGTCTCCTTCTGGACAAACCATTGGCAGCCATAGTGTTTCTCCTAGCTTCTCTGCTTCTGTCCATTCGACGCTTTGAGTCTGTGACACCACCGAATCATCCACAACCACAAGATTCACCTCATCTTTCATGAGGAAGAATAATCAGCGGTTAATAAGACTGAGGGCCACCAAAATTGGAGAGTGAATTTGATGATTGTGTAAAGGGAAGAAGAGTCGTGTGGGAGGAGAGGAGGCTGCTGCTGCTGCTGCTTCTTCTCCTTCTTATCTTGAGCATGTGTTGTGTCTTGTGAGTCGCTGCTGCTCCAGCGCTGGCTCTCTCCCCTTTCTTTTTGCTACTTCCTCTCTTTCTTCTCTTTTTAATATGCTCCAATCTGCTCGTCGTCGTCGTCGTCGTCTTCTCTCTCCGGGAAAACCACCTCCCGAGCCTGGTGGGCGGTCAAGATTCACCGATTGTTTACGTGTTCTCATCGGCACCGTTTGTCTCGTTCCCGAGGCAAACTCTGTAACCGGAAAAAATAGAATATTTTGGAGCCACGTCAGAGTGGGCCCAGTGGGGAAATGGTTGACCCACCCCGGGGGATCCTTTTTCCCACCTTGGGAGCCCTCCGCCTCGTCGTTTTGGGGGGTTACTTTCATTCTCTCCCTCTGCCACGTGTCTTCCTGCTACGTCAGCTCTTCTCGCCTACGTGGCTTCCTCCGTGACCGTGCGCTCAAAGAAACCCTAGCCGTCACAGCAGCCTAACCCCCCTCGCTTTTCATCTTTCCATTCCCATGCATATCATTTCGGTAAAAGATCCTGATTTGCTTAGATCGTATTAGTTAGATTATTTTACAAATTTACTGTAACCATTTCGTGTGATCTGAACGAAATGCAGGAATGAATAAAATCCTTTTTTTTTTGCCAGGGAATAAATAAAATCACACTTGCTCTACTTGACTAATTATAAAAAAGAATATAACTAATTTATTGGTCAAAGCAAATAATACAATTTGGTCTGTAAATACACTCAATTAAAATTATAAATAATTAAAAAAGGAATAGTAGGATTTGTCCTCGTATGGAAAGTAATATACTAATATTGTTACCGGCATTTATGCTTTTCTGTACGCCTCAATCGGCACTTCCCATCTGGCCAAAAATAAATAAAATAAAAGTGGCGCTAAAAAAAAAGTCTAACTCAGTTATAATTTTAAATTGAATTGTGACCAGATGGTATTAAATATTTTTAAAAGTATTCGAATAAAAAATATGCAAGAGATCGATCACTCAAGATTTTAACAATAATTACATTATGGAGTTTGCTTAAAAAAAATAAAAAAGGAAAGGTGTGAGCCTCGAATTAAATTAAATAGACACATTATTTGTTCTCTGCCGCCAATTTAATAATGGGAGACGGGTTTAGGGATAAGAATGGGCGTATAGTCGTGAAACCTTAGAATTATAATAAACATAAATGTGTGGTTCTTCGGCCTAAGACGCGAAGGTTTGAGCGCATTAAAATAATGGGAATCAGATAATGCTCAAAACACAAAGAACCAAACAAACAATTTTATAACAAGTGCCACTAGACCACTACCATGTTTGGCGATATGATATCTAATCAATCAACACTTATTTTATTGCTTAACTCAGCATTCATCAGTCCATTTTCTTCCTTATTTTATTAGCCCCCTGTTTTTATATTCACAATAATGGCCAGCATCCTCCCATTTTTTTAAATTATTCTTATATAATACTCCGCTTTCCATCTTATTATATTTATAACCCTACGAAACCTATTTCTAGAGGCCCAACCGAGCACTTTGTTTAAGGGACGCCTCCGAATACCATCATTAAATAAAACTTAAGGATCAAGAATAACTACGCGGCTGGTAAACAAATTTAAATGTATTCCTCAGTGTTTTGAAAGAGGCAACGCAGCTACCATAATGTTGTGGTTTCGACTAGGCAATTATTTATTCGATCAGTTTTTTTTTTCCTGATCTGTTTGAAGTTAGAATAATGGGGTTGGTTTTTTGCACTTTACGATCATAACTGTGTGATTTTTAACATATAATAATTGAGGACAATATCTAAAAGTAGAGGAGCAAGAGGAAAAAAAAAAAAAAAGCCTGGACGCAATGCATCCGCACGATAAAAAGAACGACAGCATTGATCACTTTTTAGCAATCCGGTTTTTTAAAAGTTAGAATTATACCTAGGGGTGTTTAGCATTCTTAAAACCGCGGTTTCAGAAACACTTTTTTACAAAACGAGGTAACTTCCTCCACATATTTACTTCGTAATCCGTAAAAGCACTTTTGAAACCATGGTTTGGTCTCTATCCAAACACTCCCTTAGATATGAAAGCATATAATGTACTCCCTTCATTCCTTATTATAAGAGACATTTGATGCTCATAGCATGTTCCTATATATAAGAGACACTTAAAAGTTGTCTCTACTTTTTTGTGTTTGTTTCCTATTTTACCCATATTTATTTTATTTCCAATTCACACACTCTCTCCTTCTCACTTCTCTTTTTTTTAATAATTTAATTGTTCTCTCTCATGCTCTCTCTCCTTATTAATGAGGGAATTTTTGGGAAAAAAAATTATACTTTTTACACATTGATTGTTCTTAACTAATTTTAACTACTTTTTTTATCAACGTAATTTGGTTATCTGTCTCTTATAATAAGGAACGGAGGGAGTATAACTGAATTTGATATTTCTCTGTTTGGTTTTTTGAAAAAAGCGGTGACAGTGCAACGGATGCAATTTTTCTTTTTCCATTTAGTTTCTTAAGTGCGCGAATTTATTGATTGGTAATGTGACTGAGTTTTATTTAAACCCAATCAACTGATAGACCTAATGTCTCAATACTTGAATGTTCTTTAAGTAGACTTAGAATCCAAGTGATTATTTTTTTTTAAAAGTAGGGTCCAGCATGTTAAGTGAGGCATATGAAAAATTTCCTTCCATTCTTTCTCCACCTGCATACTCCCAAGTCCTACCCTATCTCTTATGAGTGGACAAAACCCTCTACAGTTTCAATGTTTACGCTGGATTCAAATTCAAAGGCGGTTGAAAATTGCAACAAAAAAAAGAAAAGGAGAGGACTAATGCATACACTATTCAAAATATGTATTATATACATATTGACTGGGTATATACTATAAAGGAGAATAAAGCCGCTCAGTGAAGTCCAAGCAAATCACTGGGGAGGGAGAAGTAAAATATTGTTGTCCTGAGTTTGGAACTTTCATTGTGTTCCTTTTGGTGCTAATTGCCCCTATCTCCTAACTTTGCTTATTAAATTTTACCTAAAACGAGTGATATTTTGATATGTTGAGATAATAAAGTTGTCATTTTTTTAACAACAAATTTTAAAATTATACAATCTGATTTGATTTTGCTATCCCATGAACATGCATGACGTGATTTGAAATTTTACCATTTAAAAACATGTTTTTAAAAAGTCATTTCGTTAAAGATGTTAGACTCGTTTGGAATATTCTATAAATAATTAATTTAAAAAATATGAAATAAATATGGAAAAAGGTTACTTAAAATAAAAGCAGCCAGGGAGAGCCAAGCTTATCTCTTGAAATCAGAGGATGCGTATGCTGTCCAAACAAACAGTAGCATGGGAATCAACGAATCACCGTAAATATCATAAAAAATCAAAGTCAAGAAAACCAAGCCGCCCTCTTTATGTGCCCCGTAGCATGTCTGTGAGACCCAAAAGTTACCTCCAACTTCCCAAAATCCAGACGGAATAGAACCCCGCATTTGAATATATCTATCTCTTATTATCTGATGCCGACGTGGACCCCACGCCTTTTTTTAATTCATTTTCAAAAAAGTTGTCCCCGATGGAACAGCTAGGTGTACTCCAACCAAAAAATTGCGAACAAGTCTCAAATCAATGCAATACTTGACAAAAACGACCAAATTCATATAATATCCAAAACGAAATTACAGGATCATCAATTGTAGACTGTGAAAGGGAATTTCAGATTTAAAATTTTCCCCCCTTTCCCTGAAATATTATGCGGATTCAGTTCTTTTTTTCCCACCATTTTTTTCTAGTCCAGATCATCATCATGTTTTAAAAAAAAAAAAACAAAAATCTGACCCTAAAACCAAGAAAATAAAGTCCGCAAAGGCGGATAAAGCGTGTAGTATCACGCCACTTTCTTAATTTAATATTTTTATGGACAATCAAATACTGTCCTTTTTTCTTTTTTTTTTTAACCAAGGGATCTCTTAGCTTTTTCCTCAATAAGCCCTTCTCTCATCATCGCTTTCGCATTCGAAACTCTTTCCCAATCACCCCATTTCCATCCCACCATTCCTCTCAACTTTATCATATTTTACCGCTAAACGTGCATTTGCTTATATGACCACGGGCCCTACGCGTCTCATTTATATTTTAATTTAATAGAACTTTTGTTAAACTGGATCCGACTTAAATCCAAACTAATCCCTCGCATTATAAGCTTAATTATTTGTTAATAAAAAACTATATCCACCTGCTAGAAAATTTCATTTCATTATTCAAATCACACATGTTAGGTTCATGTTCATTCTCCGTCTCGAAACTTGGATTGTTTGACCTTACTATCCACAATTATTTATTAATCCTTTACGTTTAATTAAAAATAAAGGTGATATTTTGTTCCGGGACATTTATTTATTTATTTGTTTGTGATTTGTGGTTGTGATTCTGCTTTGTGACATAACACGTGGATGAGCCACGTGCGATGCTTTGAAAATACTGCACAGTGCAAATAGTGAGCTCCCGACGAGAAATTGTTTTACTCGTCCAGTTTTCAAAAGATTAAAGTACTTTTAGAATTTTTATTCTCAATCTTGGGACCTTTTATAGCATGTACGTGTCACCTTTAATTGGAAATTTTATTTTTCTCATCTCTTTTAAAAACACGTTTTGTTTCTAAAAATCTTCTCGTGACGGTATATAAATCTTAAATTCAAGACCATAGCCTCCAGTCAGTCCAGTGGATCCTATCAAGTATAAATATTCCTCCGGTCCTTAATATAGGACCTTTTTGAGTTAGTTTTGATTCTAAATATAAGACTATTTCTCATATTTATCAATTTTCTCTAAATTACCCCTATGGATACTCCCTCAACCATAATCAAGTAGAAGAGGGAGATGAGGTATTAAAAAGATGATTATGGTGTTTTAGGAAAAATGTGTCACTTTTCTTATAATTAACTAATACCTACTTTCTTAATCTAATCAAATTAGTTAAATGGGTCTTATATGAAGGACCGGATGAGTAGCGAATATCGATTTTAAAGAATGAAATTTCGTCGTGAT